CACAACCAGTGAGTAACTGATTCCTCTTCTATTTTGGAAACTTAGGGACCAAAAGCTCTTTGGTTTATTTTTGTCTCAGCTCCTTCTTGACTCTGTATTCTTATCATCTTCATCTCCCCTCTCTAATTCTTGATCTCATCAACATTAGATGTTATTTAGAGCAGCATGGGGAATATAAAGATTATTCATCTCTAATTTCTGTACCTGAGACCTTGGTGAGTGAAAAGGAGAGTAATTTTACTCCCTTCCCAGGATCAATGAAGTGCACATTCTAGCTCTGTTCCTCCTGGAGAGGAGATGATGAGGCCTGAAGACGGAAACAAGTGAGCGGAAGGGGAAATTTTATATAAAAATACTACTTCTGACAGATTAGACTTGACTTCCCTTTTTCCCGACAAGAGAATTAAATGTTTAGTTCAAGGTGTCACAGAAGCAAAGCAGATCTAATGAGCACTGATATCAATCTCAGATTGAGCTACTGAACACATGATTTGAACGTAGGGTCCTGTGGTTTTCTGCCACTTGCATGACACCAATATATTCCTGGATATGTGGATTTCTGCTGGAGCATAGTCAATTTACTAGTAACAACACTCCTGAAACTGACACTCATTCTCCCAACAGTCACCAATAGCCTAAAGTCACTTGACTAGGGATGGGACTTCATGTCCTCCTCCACTCTCCATGATGACATTTGGTCATGCTTGAATTTGCACCATTCTTGAGCATGCTATCTCAACCTCCTGTGAAGTTCATATATTCACCTGCCCTCAGTGTACAGAAGACAGCTTTCTTATAGTTATCCATAGCCTCTTTTTGCAATCTCTTCTTCCATATCTTTCACAATGATACTGAACATTTGGAGAAGGATTTGAGATGTAAACATCTCATTTAGTGCCATAATTCTATAGTGTCTTCATCTCCACAACTTGCCCAGTTGTTGGTATCTGTATTAATCACCATCTATCACAAATGTAGATTCCTCTGGTGAGAGTTGAGAAACATATTCATATATGGATATAATCATAATTCATTAGAAGTTCATTTAATACTGTTTATATTGAGCAGGATATTATTAGTGGGTTCTGCATCAAGACTCTCATCCTAAAGCAATATTATATCAATTATCCATCAATTGATAAATACTATGCAATCTGTCAAAATGGGGATACTAAGATTTACCTGTTATTTGGTTCACATCTTCCTCCAGATACCCACAGGAACCTGCATATGCTGATTGGACTGTCAGTGACCATGATCCTTGTCTTCCTCATCATCCTCCTTTTTTCTTTTTGCTCTGCCAAAAAGAGTAAGTCTCAGGAACAAGCCAGTGAAAGTCATCTGCGTAGTGTGAGAAAACAAGAGCAGAGAAATAGAGGTGTGTATTCTTAATTTATATAAAAATACTTTGACCAAGACAGGGAAACTATGGCAGAGCTTTCTATAGAAAATCCACAGCCCTTGCTCTTCCCCACAGTTTTCAGACAATGAATAATTCCTCAATGCATCTTCTGCATCTTCACATCCAAA